GGGGGGGTGGGGGTGCGGGGGGTGCGGTTCTACCTCCTTAAGATCTTTCAAAGCACAAACAGTTTATGCCAATTCTTTTGTGAAACTTTCTTCAATTCTTCTCAAATCTCAACATAACACTATGAAATAAACCAGACAGAAACTGTCCAGTTTGCTACATGATTTTTGGAAAATACCAAAACCATGCATTTTCTAGCATGTACTATAGATTAAACACTTTAAGCAAGCCCATCATAGTAACAATTTCTATTTTACTATGACCTGATTTTAATTTGGTAAGAAGGTCTCATGGTGTAATGGTTAATCACTCTGCTGTAAACCACAAGATTGGCAGTTTGAACCCCTCAGACACCACAAGACAAAGATGTGGCAGTTTCTGTCCATGAAGATGGACAGCCTTGCAAACCCTATAACCAAATCAAAACTCAATGTCACCGGGTCAATTTGGCCCATAGTGACCTATAGGACAGAGTAGAACTGCCTCTGTGGGTTTCCAAGACTGTAACTCTTTAAAAAAAATTTATTTGGGAGCACTTATAGATATTATAACAATCCATAATTCAGTTAAATCAAGCATAGCTGTGCAGTTGTTGCCACCATCATTTTCAAAACATTTCCTTTCTCCTTGAACTCTCTGATACCAGCTAAGACTGTAACTCTTTACAGGAGTAGAAAACCTTGTCTTTCTCTGGAGGATCAGTGATGGTCTTGAACTACTGACCAACGATTCCTGGTGGGTTAGCAGCCCAACGAATCCATAACCCACAACACCAGGACAGTTGTACTCTGCCCAACAGAGCACTACGCGTTAGAATCAACTCAGCTCAACAGCATTGGGTCTTTTGTTTGTTTCTCTTCTAATCTATGCGTGCTTTGTTAAGGAGCCCTGGTGGCATAGTGTTTAAAGCACTCAGCTGTCAAAATAAGTCATCAGTTCGAACCCACCAGTGGCTCCATGGGAGAAAGATGAGGCAGTCTGCGTCCGTAAAGGGCAGTTTTACTGTGATAGGGTCCTTAGAAGTGGGCATGGTCTCTAAGGCCCACAGCAACATTTCTACTTGAAGGAGACATCAGATGTGAGATCTTCCGAAAAGATCTAATCGAGTTTAAGGTTGCTATGCAGAGAGGCTCATTAATACAAGCAGCACAAGGTTAGTAGACAACAGAACGAAAAACAAACTTCTGCGTGTGGAACTTACGGATTGATCTCCCAGAGCTGTTTTGATGCTAAGTCTCACTTTAAACGCATTCTCTGCATCTGCCGGAAAGAGAGAGAGAGAGAGCAGTGGACAATCACAAATCTGCTACAGCGAGCCTGATAAATCCTACAATTTCATGTCTCTGACATCACAGCCCAGCAGACTACAATTACACTGCCCAAATCGGCCTGTAAGTTTAACCCCAATCATCTTAGATGGGGAACATGCTTTCTGTCCCATTGGATCAAACGGTCACAGGCTTTACTTCAAGTCTCAGCACAGCTAGAGATTTTTACTCTTTTTAAAAATGCTGTTAAGTCAAAGCTATGCCATTCCGAAAACTCTTCCTTTGTTTTTGGTTTCAAGACAACGTACCTGGTTTGCAGAGTTCGGCATGACTTGCAGTCACTAAGAGAAAGAGAAGCCACAGCATTCTCGCTGAATGGAAAACACAAGGCAAACGGAGAGCAAATACCCACCCTCCACTTGGAGCTCTCCTCGCCTTTCTGTGCAGGATTAGAATATCCGAGAAGCAAGCCAACCACCACCTAGGAGGTTTAATGATTAACCCCCATCCTTTGGGCTAATGCTTTCACCGAAGCAGCCCCTCGCCTGTCAGTTATTTACAAAACCTCTGTTTGGCCTTCCGATCAGTCCTATCCTTGCCAAAGCCCCCCTCAGGAGGGGAAGGCATCCTCTGCGAGACTCCAAGTGGGAGCCGCCCCTGCCCCCTCTGGTCTTGGCTGGGTCCCTGCCGGGTGGACGGCAGCCAGTCCTCTCGGGTGCTTGTCTTGGAGGTGAACTGACGTCTTTTCAGGCCTGAAATATTTGCTTCGCGGATAGGCTATCACAATGTGGAAAGCCAGCACCACTCCTTTCTGTTTCTGGGGAACAAAGGGTGCCCTTCCAAGCGTGGCCCCACCTGACTCTCGTCTCTTCAGGTAACCACCCCAGGACTGTTTTCCCCCTTCACAAGGCACTGTTGGCTCTGCTCAGCACCAGGGGATGAAAACGTAGTTCATGGCGCCCAGCAGTGCTGGCCAGTGGGACATCCGACAGGGAAGGGCAGGCCCACGACTGCAGCCACTAGACCTGAGAGGCCACTGACTAACTGAAGTGATGCTGGTGCTGAGAATGTGAGTTTTTTAGGGAGTTCATTAGTGTAGCTACTGAATTTAGTTATTAAGAACCACCTATTATGGAAGACCCTGGATGAGACGGATTGACGCAGTAGCAACAATGGGCTCAAACAACAATCGTGAGGCTGGCATAGGACTGGACAGTGTTTCCTTCTGTTGTGCAGAGGGTCGCTATGAACCGGGATCAACACAACGACACCTAGCAACAACAACACTATACACCAGGTTCTCTGGATCATTCGTCTAATCCTCAAGCCAACACCTCAAAATTGCTATTGTTATGAAGCTCGAAGCAGTGTCACTGAGTCTCCCATGGAGGAATTGGCGAAGTGGTTACTGCATTGGTGTGGATGCTTACGCCGCCCGTTTTTTTCCTTAATTCGTTTATTTCCTTTTCATTGTTTCACCAACATACAATGCATATATCGCCCATTTCACGAGTACAAGCACATGCATCAGAGTTGTGCAGCCATCGTCACGATCCATTCCAGGATGGTTCTTCCTCCTTGAACTCCTTGCTGTTGGCTCTCCATCTCCCACCCAACTCCCCGGACATGCCCCTTTGGAATGACTAAGTAGCTGTTGTCTCTGTGTGTTTTCCTATCCTGGGTTTCATACGTGGAAAAGCATACGAAATCCAAACAAAACAAAACAAGTGGCCCAACAATGACAGAATCCAACCTCAGTCAAAAACACAGCCGAAACTCTTACAGAACCGGAACGACCATACGTTGCATCAAGAGGAAGCTCAGTGACCAGTGTCACATTTGGACCTAACTTCAACTGCAGGGATCCACCCCACATTGGACTCTGCCTGATAACCAAGCCTTTCTCGTTTCATGTCCGAAGCGATTCACCAGAGGCTTAGTCCTCGTGGGGGATCCTGCGGATGGGTTTGGGGTTTTCACTGTCATCATAGCCTTCTGCAAGCCCACTGTTCCAAATTGAAGCTCTAATACCATGCCCTCCACCAGGTTCAGGTTTAATTATTTGCAAACCTTGGATTACATAGGCCTGTGTGTTTCTTCTGTGTGGACTCAGCTGTCACCCCACTGAAATGGCTGTTTGCTTTAGACCACCCTTTAAGACCTCAGATGCTATTCGTTCTGATAGCTGGGCACCACCTTGTCTTTCACCGCCTTTGGCTATGACACTCTTATCTTCCGTGATCACTTCATGGGAGTGGGTATTGAGCATCACTATATTTTAAACCTTACTCCTGTGATAATCACTTCCATATGAGGAGACTGAGGGTCTAGTGTTGGTGTTGACGGCCAGAGGGGACAGTGAGCGGTAGGTCACTTTCACAACCAAGCTGACTACATGTGATTTTTCTCTTCACCACACCAACTCCTTGAGTCTCAAAACTGCCATGGCAACAAAACCTCAGAGATGCTCTGAGGATTGAAAAGATGTTTTCTCGTGGTGAGAGGCCCCCAAAAGGGAGAGGCCTCCAGAATGAGCTGGGTCAATCCAGTAATGTCACCATGGAATGAAAAGGTCATTTCCTATGAGGAAGACCTGGGTGGGTGGGTGGGGGGAATATATCAGCCTATATGGAAACCACCTCGTGAAATGATAAGCCTAGATAAAGTTGTCATTGGAACCAGTCAATAGTCCTAGAGGTTGAGATGGTCACAAAGCAGGGCATGTACTGCTAGTCTTTGTTTAAACCAAACATAGAACTCGCATTTGGCCAACTATTATGTCAAAGGGACGAGGGTCCGTCTCTTTTGGCTTTTCCATGTATGGGACTAGGATGGCAGAGTCAGATGAGGGGGAGCTGCTCAGGGTACACTAGCCTGCAAGGAAAGACGCTTTTCTTTTGAATTCAAATTCTTCAAGGCACGTGGTCTCATGAGGGGCCCAATGCAAGAAAAAAATCAATAAACAATCTGTACAGAAAATACAACTAAGAAAAAAAGCAATTCTTGCCCATAATACCACCAGCCTGGATGAACACCAGTAATACTTTGTAATATTTGGAAGATGCCTTTCTTAACATTGGATCTTCTTTTGGCTCCCACTGTGAATTACAGATACAGATCTTTTGAAAAACAAAATTGCAACCTACTATCACCTTTTTTCTGAACTTGACATTGTACTGTAACACTGCATGTTGTGTTTATATTTAGATCTTCCTCCAGAATATTGCTCTACTTCTTCCATGTGGGCTTTGTTGCTTCACAGCTAAATGGCCACTTGTTTACCTTCAAGACTTTAAGACCCAGGTGCTGTATCTTTTGATAGCCAGGCACCATCAGCTTTCTTCACCACATTTGCTTATGCACCCATTTTGTCTTCAGCGATCTTGCCAGGAAGGTGAGCATCACAGACAGTGGGATTATAAGAACGAAGTGTTCTTGCGTTGAGGGAGTACTTGAATAGAGTCCCAATGTCCATCCACTACCTTAATACTTAACATATATATATATATATATATGTGCATAGATCTATTTCCCTATTGTTATATATATGTGCATAGATCTATTTCCCTATTGTTATATATATATATATATACATGCCTGTATTTAGACTCTAGAAATGTCGTTTGCCTCCTAGTTCTTTCCCCTAGTTCCTTTTGCTTTCCTCTTGTCCCACTATCATATTCAGCCTTCATTTAAGTTTCAGTAATTCCTCTCGGCTACATTTCCCTTGATCAAGCCCCACCAGGCATTCTATGCCTTCTTCGCCATCAATTTTAAATCACTTGTTACCTTGTAGCTGGATTTATTGACACCCCCTTTCCTTTCCCCTGCCTCCCCTCACCCGTGTCCCCCTGGAACCATCGGTTACATTGTTTTCTCCTCTGTATTGTTTATCCCTCCTATCTTATCTAGATAGATATGCAGAGACAATAATAAGCAGAAAAACAAGACAGAGCAAAGCAAAACAACAAAAGAAAACAAAACAAAGCCCGTTTATAGGCAATTGGACACTCCCTTATGTAAGGGTCGTGGAGAAGAGACAAGCCAGTCAAGGTGCAGTGTAGCAATGATGAAACATACAACTTTCCTCTAGTTTCTAAATGCTTCCTCCCCCCGCTCCCACCACTATCGTGATCCCAATTCTACCTCACAAATCTGGCTAGACCAGAGGATGTACACTGGTACAGATAGGAACTGGAAACACAGGGAACCCAGGGCGGATGATCCCTTAAGGACCAGTGGTGTGAGTGGTGATACTAGGAGGGTAGAGGGAGAGTGAGTTGGAAAGAGGGAACCTATTATAAGGAACTATATGTGACCCCCTCCCTGGGGGACGGACAACAGAAAAGCAGGTGAAGGGAGACGTCGGACAGGGAAAAGTATGACAAAATAATAATTTATAAATTATCAAGGGCTCATGAGGGAGTGGGGAGTGGGGAGGGAGGGGTAAAAATGAGGAGCTGATGCCAGGGACTTAAGTGGAGAGCAAAAGTTTTGAGAATGATGAGGGCAATGAATGTGCAAATGTGCTTTACACAATTGATGCATGTGTGGATTGTGATAAGAGTTGTAAGCCCCTAATAAAATGATTTTTTTTAATGTAAGAACTGAGCTGGAAGAAAAGAGTTTTGTTGGCTTGTTTGTTTCTCAGTCAAGTTTAAACACAGCAACCTATCTAATGCCAGCTGTCTCACATGGTGGCATCTCATTCATGATTACATCCAGTCAAATCCAATTCCTAGCAGCACATACTGGTGAAGACCTCACGGTATAGTGGTTATGTGTTGGCCTGCTAACCACAAGGTCAGCGGTTCAAATCCATCAGTCTTTCTGTGGGAGAAAGATGAGGCTTTCTACCCCCATAAAAAGTTACAGTCTTAGCTGTACAAGACCTCTTCAGAGTACTGAAAAGCAGAGATGTTACTTTGAGGGTTAAGGTGCACCTGAACCAAGCCAGGGTATTTTTCCATTGCCTCATATGCATGTGAAAGTTAGGCATTGAATAAAGAAGGCTGAAGAAGAATCGATGCATTTGAACTGTGATGCTGGAGGAAAATGTTGAAAGTACCACGGACTGCTAAAAGGACAAGCCATTCTGTCTTGGAAGAAGTACAGCCAGGGAGCTCCTTAAAGGTTAGATGGCAAGACTTCATCTTCCATACTTTGGACATGTTCTCAGGAGGGACCCGTCCCTGGAGAAGGACACCATGTTTGGTAGAGTGGAGGGGCAGCGAAAAACAAGAAGACCCTCCGGGAGATGGAGTGCCATAGAGGTTGCAACCATGAGTTCAAGCATAGAGACAATTGGGAGGATGATGCAGGACCTGGCAGGGTTTCCTCCTGTTGATCATAGCGTTCCTGTGGGTCAGAACTGCCTCGATGATGCCTAACAAAACCTATTCCCTTGAACTTCCTTGGAAGCCATTATACAAACTCATGTCATCTACAG